AGGAGAAAGATGAGGCTTTCTGCTCCCATAAAGATTGACAGCCTCGGAAACCCTGTGCAGGGTCGCTATGAGTCGGAACCGACTCCACAGCACATAACAACAACAAATTACAATGATTAATTTTCAGTCCTTTTCTTCCATAACAGAATAGTAGCCTTTAACAAAATCATCTTTATTTCCTTCCTGATACACTTTCTCCATCCAGGTTCCAAGATACCACACACTCTTCTTCATCTTTCTCCTATTTTACTGACAGCACCTACTAAGTCTTTTCTGGTCTGACTTAAATTTAAAATCCTTGATGGTCTTCTCTAACTATATTCACTTTCTTGGAGAATGTACCCAGTTTCAATACTTTACAAACTATCTAATGACTTCCAGATTTGTATCTCTAGACCAGACTTCTCATAATCATCTGTACGGATCTCTACTAAGACAACTCTAACTTAAAATGTTTCAAGTTGATCTCCTGTTTGTTGCCACAAACCTATTTCACTGATCTTTCCATTGACAGCAATTCTACTCTTCCATTTTTCAGACCAAAAATGCTGGTGTCATCCTTGACTTGTCTGGTTTTCATGCCACACATCAAATCCATCAAGAAATTCTTCAGCTTTGTTTGAAATATATCCGGACGCCAATCACTTCTTACTGACATTAGCCATAAACAGGGTTGTTGTAACAGCCACCGCATTGACAGTGCAGCATCACTCAATTCACAGAAAAACATTCAAAGAACTGGACTAGGAACCCTATTTATGAAGGAGTGTCTCTTGAAGTGTGGTCCCAGGACTGGAGCATAAATACCATTTGGGAAACTGGTACAAACAAATCATTTGGGAAAACTCACGTCCTACCACAAATCAGAGCCTCTGAAGGTGGGGTCCAGCAATCTTGCTTTAACAAACTCTCCAGATGTTTCTATTGGATGTTAAAGTCTGAAACATAGTGAACTAATGTGATGTGGTTGCTGTTGCTGTTGCTAAGTACCACTGAGTTGGCTCCAACTCTTAAGAGATCTCGTCTAGGGTTTCCCAGGAGCAACTGGTGGGTTTGAACTGTCAACCTTGCAGTCCAGTGCATATCCTATAGTGCCATACCAGGACTCTGTGATTGTGGCCAATAACTAGTCAGATTAATCAGGATAATTTTTATGGATTTGTTTGATTTTTTTCCTTCAATATTTAAACCTGTCTTGCTCACTTAATGACTTTTTTAAGTCACTTATTCTTACTGAACTCTTCCAAAGAATTCATTATAGTTTTCATAGAAACAATGCATGTTCTTTGTATTCATATTTTAATTTAAAACAGAATTCTGTAAACTGATTAAAAAGTACAACTGGCATTGATATATTTGAGAGTAAATACCACACATTCCATTTTATTTGTTTATTTTTTTAATGTTTTATTGTGAATTATGTGATGGTATACATGGCAGAACATTAGCTTTACATTCATCCTATCGTATATAGTTTCATTGCCATGATTACAATCCCCTCCATGCATCATCAATCAACT